GATTCAGGAGATCCTCCTTGGACAGCCTAGACCTAGGCTAGATGTCTCTCTGAAGGTAAGGGATCAGGCTGGACCATTCCAGACATAGCCTGGTTCTCACCCTCAGGCTATTTACATCTGCATGGATGAGACAGGCAGGCAGCGAGGACAAAGACTGAGCAGCAGGATAGGAGCCAGGACCAATGCCTGAAGCTGCTGGTTTGGGCTGTTCCCAGAGGAGGTGAGCGAGGCAGGAGACCAGCCGAGGTGCTCACAGCAACCACCCATAGCCTTTCTGCAACTTTGGGGAAGGGTTACCTACCCAACCAAGCACCTCGATTCAGTAATCATACTTGCAATTTGCCGCTTTCCTGCTTTCAAGTGCTTGCTCATATAAATCCCGATGATTTTTTTCCCCTTACTTTGCTTCAACCTCGCCCCAGTTCTTCCCATCACCCTCAAAAGCTCCAAGCCCCCGACACTTTTTTCTGTTTATTTGAAAGATGAAGAGTGCATGTCTTTAGCATTGCTAAACCTCTATTCCTTAGAGTTATCGTGAGGAGATTAAGCACCTTTCTGAAACTTGTGATCCAAATCAAGTTGTTCCACTGCAACCAAAACCCTCAGGGGACCCAATGCAAAATCACAAGGAAATCACCTGTAGTCCATCTCATTATCAGGATCCTTGTAACGGGTCCGTCATTTCTGATGCAAATACTAGCACCAATTGCACTTCTTGTTACTGACAGATCCATTCTTTAAAATATATATATACACACACACACATATATATATATACCTATCACACAGAATTAGGGAAAGCGTGTTGAGCTGGCAAGACTTACTAATAGACCATCCTCAGAACCTTGTTCAGCAGTGTATCAGCTGCCACCTTGTTATTTATAGCCGCCCTGCTCTTTCAGCTTGTTTATTTTCCTTCCCTAAGGTGGTGGTGGTGGGAGGGGAAGCTCTGACATTCAGGCCCAAGTGTCTCCAAGTCTGACCTTTCCTTCAAAGAGCAGAAACTGCAGACACATTTGAAGGAACAAAGTCATTTGGAAACTCTAGGCTCTTGCATCTACCACCTCACCGGAGGCCCAGTGCAGAGCCACAAGCAAGGGTTGAGCAGAGATCTGTTAATTAGCCAGCACATATACATAAGGATGGTCATAAAAATGAACCTATAACTATTTTATACCTGGAAAGAGGACCAGATGAAGTCTAGCCCCCAGTCTTGAGGCAGAACAAGTACTATATAAAGACATAACATTCAAAACAGACTTGAGTTTTCCATCAGCTAAGCTTTCCCCATGTTTAAATAATGCTGGTTTATGGCCTGTGGGAAACAGGCATTGCAATGGTTGTGGACCATGTTTTTCAATCCCATCTCGCATACACTTATGTAGAATCATCTGTTAAACCTTGTTAGAAAAAAGGCAGCCCTGAAGCTTGCTACAGAAAGACAAGCAGCACATTTCAGTATTACTGTAGCCCCCCAGTTTTATTTAAGAGTAGATGCTGTACAGAAGGGCATTCCCCTTCTGCATAATCTAAACAGATAGGACAGGGAAAGAAGAAATTGGAGAGCAGCAACACCTTCAGGTGTCCCTCAAGGTCAGGGCATTGAGAGCCCACACAGGTGTTCCAGCCCCTCTCTTTGGGCACCATCAGCCTGCCAAGGGGACGGCAATTTGGGATAGCATGGCAGCACGGGGAACACAGGTAGCCAACTGATACGGGGATCAGAAAAGCATTGCTCTTCTCCACCAGGCTTTGAGGGTGAGCTTAATCCTGCAAGAAAGACTTGCTCAATGCCTCAGTTTGTCCTGGTTACGCTCAAAATGCAACAGTCCCAGGAAAAGAGAGAGCTAAAGCCCTATAACGAAAGCCTCAGAAATGCCAATGCTGCAAAAAATGCAATATTATGAAAAATTAACATAGGCAAGATATGGAGCAGTCTGCTGCTGAATAAGACAAGAGCAGTAACTGCTATAGAGAGGCACAGCCTGCTCTCTCTTACTCACACGAGCAGAATGAGTCCCCAGGAGCACTCTTCACATCCCTAGGAGAGCAGAGGTCCCAGCGACGTGCAGAGATGCACAGGAGAGCTGGAAGCAGGCTGGCTTTGCAAAGGTTACAGCATAACTTCACCACCACGTGCAGTAGTTTACTCCATGGCAAATTCATCTGCAGGAGCTTTTCATTTTAGTGAGATGAGCAGAAGTACTTCACAGAGGCTACGTTTTCTTCTGAAGTGAGCAGTGAAATCAGCCACAACACCCTGTGCTTGCTGCTGAGGGGAGAAATGAGCCTTCATCCCCTCTTGGCATTGCTCAAGATGCACATCCAGAGCATCTGGGCTG